AAAGACAAACACGGCAGAAAGAGTTTCACTTGGTTAAATAAGGAAACTTTACTTTAATTATTATTGTGTAGATCTTAGATGCAACTAAAGACCTTCTAGGGCTCTTTGTTGAAGTTTCCCAAAGCAGATCCAGCTTCATAAATCCCCAAGGATGTTTGAAATATTCTGCTGTTAGATTGGAATAATCTAATCCAAGTGTAATTGTCTGAGTGCTGTAGTTTTTAACAGGAGAGCATATTAAAGACACTTAAACGTCTTGAAACTTGGAAACAAAGCCTTGTGGATTGCTGTTTTTTTACTTTTTTGGAATAAAGACTATTAACGTGGTGAGAAAGGAGTGGCAGTAATTATTAACGTGGCTTCAATGTTTAAACGTAACATTTGTTTATGTTTAAACAGTAACATTTCTTTATGAAAAAGATTTAATCTAGTAGCACAGTTGTGCATCTCAGCTAAAGGCAGAAAACTAGCATGTTGAGGCTGAGACCATAATTATATCTCAAACTCAATAGTAATGATTTAGGGACAACAATGATTATATGATGAATGAATCGAATTATGATCTCTGGCTGATGTGGTTGTGGTGTGACTGTAGCTATTAGCTGGGCTGCTTTTCCAAAACCACAGTTGCCAAAGTAATTTAATATTATTTCGTAAACTATGTTGCTAACAGTTTAGCAACTGTGGTTTTAGTAAATATTCCGTTTAAGGCCTTTTTACAGCCTAAGGATGGAGCTTTACTTGGATATAACAAAACCAAATATCTTCAGAACAGCTCCAAATGACAAATTAATATGGGTGAGTAGAACACGATGTAATGACATAAAATCCTGTGTGTCTTTAAAATTAAAATGAGTGAAAATGAATATTTCCTTTTTCTGTTCTCAAAAGCACTGTTATATCACCTCAAAGGAAACAAATTACCGTAAATTCTCTAATATTGGCCTGTATTCCAATAGCGGCCGGGTCTCTAATAATGGCCGGTCTCGCTGTCAGGGGAGGTAAATAATGGCCGGTCTCTAATACAGGCCGGGGCTATAAACGTTTTTTCTGG